AAGTGCAAGAAAATGGACATCGTACCCAAAGGACTGAAAGTGAACAATCCACTAAGATCAACATACTTCACTGACTACAGTGAAAGACTCTGCCTCACACTATCCAAGAAATTAAGAAACCACCTGATAAGTATTTTATACAAGAAACAGAAAACCATCAAGAATGACATTTCTAACTTAGATCGTCTCATCTCAAGACAAACATCCACACCGACTGACACCTTGCAAGACTTTTGTTCCACCAGACAAGAAATCTACTATACACACTTCTATTCCCTACAACAAAGAAAAGACAATAAATTTTCTAACCTGCTCCATACCACTGGCTACAACAGCAACTGCCTCAACCCACCGGATAATATTGTTAACCTCTCCAGCTACAAACTCAATCCAGCAGAAGAGTCTGTCTTGTCCCGGGGTCTCTCTTTCTGCCCCACGTCCCCCACAAACTGGATACAATTTTGTGGTGACCTTGAGGCTTTTTTTCGCCGCCTCCGTCTCCGAGAATATTTCCAAACCACCACTGAACATCAATCTGACCTACCAGATCCCCCCTACCAACACCAAAGGAAAAATAATTCTATATGGACTCCCCCTGACGGTCGGAATTACAATCTGGATTTCTATATACACAGCTTCCGCAACAACGCACAGACTGACATTATTCGCAAACGACAACAAGCGACACACAATCTTAGCCGCGCTGAACACCATGCCATCCAGAGTCTCAAAAACAACCTGGACATTGTAATCAAACCAGCTGACAAAGGGGGTGCTGTGGTCATTATGAATAAGGCCGACTATAACCAGGAGGCAACCAGACAACTCTCGAACACCACATTTTACAAACCTCTCCCCTCTGATCCCACCTTGGACTACCAAAAGAAACTACACTGTCTCCTTAAAAGCCTCCCCACAGCTACTCGGGAACAAATCCTCACAGAATCACCTTCTGACCCCCGACCAGGATTGTTCTATCTACTTCCCAAGATCCATAAACCTGGGCACCCCGGACGTCCCATCATCTCTGGTATTGGCACGCTCACTACTGGTCTATCCAGCTATGTAGACACTCTTCTCAAACCCTTCGTAACCAATACCCCCAGCTATCTCCGAGACACTACTGACTTCCTAAGGAAACTACAAAACATCGATAACCTCCCCAATAATACCATCCTTGCCACCATGGATGTAGAAGCTCTATATACCAACATCCCACATGAAGACGGATTACAAGCAATTAGAAACACTATCCCAGAGGACACTACTGCCAACCTGATAGCAGACCTATGTAACTTTGTTCTCACCCACAATTATTTCCGGTTTGAGAACAACTTATACCTCCAGATCAGCGGCACAGCCATGGGTACACGCATGGCCCCACAGTATGCTAACATCTTTATGGCTGACCTAGAACAACGTTTCCTCAACTCCCGTCCCCTTTCACCCCTCCTCTACCTACGGTACATCGATGACATCTTTATGATCTGGACACATGGCCAAGAAACACTGGAGATATTCCACAGAGATTTCAACAACCTACACCCCACCATCAACCTCAGCCTGGACCATTCTACACGAGAGATCCACTTCCTGGACACCACCGTACAAATCAACAATGGAAAATTAGACACCACTCTCTACAGAAAACCCACTGACTCATACAGTTACCTACATGCATCCAGCTCCCATCCAGAACACACCACACGATCCATCGTCTATAGCCAAGCCCTTCGATACAACCGCATCTGCTCTAACCCCACTGACAGAGACCAGAAGCTTCAGGATCTCTACCAAGCATTTATAAATCTCAACTACCCACCCAGAGAAACAAAAAAGCAAATTGAAAGAGCCAGACGAATACCTAGAAACCATCTACTTCAAGACAGACCCAAGAAAACCAACAATAGAACACCACTTGTCATCACCTACAACCCCCAACTTAAACCTGTCCAACACATTATCAATAAACTACAGCCTATATTGGAACAGGATACCATACTCAAAGAGGCTCTGGGAGACAGACCCATAGTCTCCTATAGACAACCACCTAACCTCAAGATGATTCTTACCAACCACCACAGGACATACCACACTAATACCAACCCTGGTACCTTCCCTTGCAACAAACCCCGTTGCCAGCTTTGTCCACATATTCATTCTGCTGATACCATTATTGGACCTAACCAAGTGAGTTATAAGATCAAGAACACATATTCCTGCGCATCCAGAAATATAATCTACGCTATCATGTGCCGAAAGTGTCCGTCTGCTATGTACATTGGACAAACATCTCAGACACTTCGCCAAAGGATTAATGCCCACAAAACAGATATCAGACAAGATCACAAAGAGAAAACAGTTTCTTGCCACTTTAACCAGAAAGGACACTCTCTAAATGACTTAGCCACCTGCATTCTGCTACAAAGACCTTTTACATCTGCACTTGAAAGGGAATCCTCTGAACTGTCATTCATGTTAAAATTCGACACTTTCCAACAAGGACTTAGTTCAAATGTTTGTTATCTCACCCATTACCAAGATAGTTTCCCCAATTATCACCTCTAATACCATTAACTCACAAACATCCCACTCTCCCTACCTCTAATATCATCAATTCACAGACACTTACCTTCCTTCCTCCCCCTCCCCCACCCCGCATCTCCCTTCTGTTCTGCAATGTGATTTGTCCTTTTCATATTTGTTCTTTTTTTTAATTGTATCCTTTGGTATATATGGTTGTGACTATTTTCTTCCACTATTTGATCTGAGGAAGTGGGTCTGGCCCACGAAAGCTCATCATCTAATAAACCATCTTGTTAGTCTTTAAAGTGCTACATTGTCCTGCATTTTGCTTGGAGGCTTCAGGCATCTAACGTAGCCCGTAGTCCTCAGGCTGGCTTCGTGCACAGGGTGAATTTCACCCGCTACGTTTTGCCCCCCAAACACAAATGAACACGGGACCGGGATGGACCTCCTGAGTTGCCAACTCAGTCCCCACTGTCACGGGCAACCTCCGCAGACCATCCTCCTCACCAATTTATCACGCTCCATCTTAAAACCAGTTGGGCTTCTTAGCCCCACGCCCCCGATGGGGAGGCCGTGCCAGACCTCACCCCTCTGCCGGGTAGATGCCCTCTTCTCATTTCCAGCCAGTAGCTCCTCATGTGTCGTTGTCTCAGCACTGTCCTTCGACTGGCTCGTCTCCCTCCCGGAGGTTTCCTCCCCGCAGATTTCCACAGACCCAGCTCTTTCAGTCTCCTCTCGTACGACCAGCTCTGCATTCCCGACTGCTCTAACCGCCCTGCCCTGCACCCGCCCCGTCTCAATTCCTCTCGCCGGAACACAGGAGAGATAGGGTATTCCGGGGGTCTGCCCAGGGACTCCTGCGGGGGGGGGCTGTTAACTAACTGAGCACCCCTCTCGGCCAGGGATCGCGCTGCAGTCACCCTAACGAGGCAGGCTTGCGAGGAACAGCGCCCCCTGCTGGGGGCTGCCATCATCGCATTGCTCAGGGCGCCGGAAGAAATTCCATCGCCCCACAGCAGGTCACAGTCATTTGTGGGGCTTCCTCTCCCAGCCAGAGCTCTTCTTCTGACCCAGGCTCCTCTTCCTGCCTCCTCAGCCGTCCCTTGCTGGAGCTCAGCCTTCTCGCCCCCAATTCCGCCTGGGCCTCCCCATCCGGCCCTCCTGCTCCCAGGACTCCCCTGTCACAGCTCCCTTGGCCTCGGCGGCTTTGCTGCAGCAGCCCTTCACGCTCCCTCAACGCTTCCCTGAAATCCCCCTGCTCCCTGCGCCTTCCTCCTCCTCTTCCTGCCTCCTCAGCCGTCCCTTGCTGGAGCTCAGCCTTCTCGCCCCCAATTCCGCCTGGGCCTCCCCATCCGGCCCTCCTGCTCCCAGGACTCCCCTGTCACAGCTCCCTTGGCCTCGGCGGCTTTGCTGCAGCAGCCCTTCACGCTCCCTCAACGCTTCCCTGAAATCCCCCTGCTCCCTGCGCCTTCCTCATGTAAGGGGTGAGCTGTCCTGTTACTGCTTTGTATGACACTTGCTTTTCCTTAACGCACAGAGGTACAGGGGAGTGCTCAACCCCCGGCTCTGCCCCCTCCACTCCTTCCCCCAAGGCTCCATATCCGCCCCATCTCTTCCTGCCCCCGCTCCTCCTCTTCCCACCCAGTTCCACCACCTCCCCAAGCAGGCTGGGACCTCGCTCCTCCCCCATTTACCCCCCAGAGGGGCGGCCCGTGAGCCTAGGCAAACTAGGCAGTTGCCTAGGGCGCCGCTGGCCCAGGCGCCTGATGATAACGTCATGGCTATTGACGGCCGTGCAAGCGGGGGCGCTGATAGCACCTCTGCCTAGGGCGCCAGCTGCCGCAGCCGGCCTCAAACTGCTGCTGCCCCAGAGCCTCCCAAACACAGCAGGCATGGGGAGGGAAGGGGAGACACTGATCCACAGGGCCCACCAGCAGCAGAGGCAGAAGAGAGGTGCTGGGGGGGACTCATCGGGGGGCTGCCGGTTTTCCCTGTGGGTGCTCCAGTCCCAGAGCACCCATGGAGCCGGAGATGGTGTCTGCGCACGAACGCTTCAGTGAAGATGCTCCTTCTCTGACAGGACAGCTCCCCCTATCGGTGAAATTAACCTGCCTCCACGAGAGTGACTAGCTACATCGGCAGGAGACGCTCTCCCATCGACAGTGCCTGGGGCGTTGTGGTCGGCAACAACTGTGTCGCTCAGGAGGGTGGATTTTTCACACCCCCGAGTGACGCACGGTTGTATTGTAACCTGGCCAGTTGCTCAGTGTCAGCAGCTGCCCTGCACTAACGATCCCTGGCTGTTCCACACGGACAAGGGAGGAAATGTCAGTTGCATGCTCCCCAGGGCGCTGTTACATACTCGCGAGGAAAGCAACTGTGACCAATAATACCTTGAACGTCTACTAGGAAGTTGAGGCAATCGGATTAAAGGTCAACCAATAGCGCCTTGAATAAACACAGCAACTAACCTCTTCTGCTGTCTTGAAGGCTACGTTCGACCGGAGCAGAACGTTCAGATCTACGGAGTCCCTTTCAAAATATAAAGCAGATGTTAAACAGTGTCATGAATAAAGTAATAGTCTCCCCTAGTCCTGCCTGCCTTGTGGGTATTGCTGCTTCTCTAGCAGCTGGCAGGGTGTAAACACCTCTCAAGGAAAGGTACCAACCTACCTTTGCCCACCCCCTCCTCAGCTGCACTGAGGGCTGCTCGGCTGTAACCCTGGATCTAGGCCAGTATGTTTCGTTCTGGGTCTACACTAAAGGATAAGGTCAAATTAAGATATGCAACTCCAGCAACGTTAATTATGTAGCTGGCGTCGATGTACCTTGATTCGAGTTTCCCTGCTGTTCCTATAGCAAAAGGCCGATGGGAGAGAATGTTCCTGTCAGCTTCCCTTACTCCTTGCAGGAGCAGTAGTACCAGCCGTTGACAGGGCCACCCTCTGGGTTTGATTTAGCAGGCCTTTACTAGACCCACTAAATCAAACTCTGGAAGATCGATCGTGGCAGTGTCGATTTCCCCCAGAGTGAGCACGTGGCCTTGAATATTTCTTTCAAAGTAAAGCTGAGAAGTGTGTGAATTCTAGCAGTGCTGCTCTGAAGGACGTGGGTTTCAAAAGTGGCATCGGCCTGTCTCTGCTCCCACTGAAGTCAGAGGGGTTTTTACCACAGGCTGCAAGGGGAGCAGAGTTAGGCTAGTGGCTATTGAGGCTACAGAGGATGCCAGGAGCCCTGGAGGTTATTCCAATGGGCATCAGAGAAGGATCTAGCGGATGCCAAAGCCAAATCCAGAAGGAAAGGCTCTGCACAAGCTGCCATAGTGGGGCTTCCCAGAGGTCAGCACTCTGGGGCTTTTGTGTGGCTACATAGAATCATAGAATCATAGAATCATAGGACTGGAAGGGACCTCGAGAGGTCATCGAGTCCAGCCCCCTGCCCTCAAGGCAGGACCAAGCTCCGTCTACACCATCCCTGACAGATGTCTATCTAACCTGTTCTTAAATATCTCCAGAGAGGGAGATTCCACCACCTCCCTTGGCAATTTATTCCAATATTTGACCACCCTGACAGTTAGGAATTTTTTCCTAATGTCCAATCTAAACCTCCCCTGCTGCACTTTAAGCCCATTACTCCATGTCCTGTCCTCAGAAACCAAGAGGAACAAATTTTCACCTTCCTCCTTGTGACACCCTTTTAGATATTTGAAAACCACTATCATGTCCCCCCTTAATCTTCTTTTTTCCAAACTAAACAAGCCCAGTTCATGAAGCCTGGCTTCATAGGCTTCTCTAGACCTTTAATCATTCTTGTCACTCTTCTCTGTACCCTTTCCAATTTCTCCACATCTTTCTTGAAATGTGGCGCCCAGAACTGGACACAGTACTCCAGCTGAGGCCTAACTAGTGCAGAATAGAGCGGCAGAATGACTTCACGAGTTTTGCTTACAACACACCTGTTGATACAACCTAAAATCATATTTGCTTTTTTTGCAACAGCATCACACTGTTGACTCATATTCAACTTGTGGTCCACTATGACCCCTAGATCCCTTTCCGCCATGCTCCTTCCTAGACAGTCGCTTCCCATCTTGTATGTATGGAACTGATTGTTCCTTCTATTGCCCCTCCACGTACAGCGTAAGCACACAGCCACCACATGCCTCAGCTCAGAGCTATCAGGCTGCTAAAGCGGCCCAGTCACAACCCAGCTCAATGATCACTGTATCAAAATTGTGCTTGGAGTGGAGTCACCCAGAGAGCCCAGCCTGGTCCAGCACACCCTCTGAGTTAGCCTCCATAACCCAGTCCCTTCCTGGGTTTTCCTTGGCTCATAATTTAAGAACAAAACATACCCCTTTGTCTGAGCTTCCCCCTGATTGGGCCATTTCTCCTTCCTAAGAACATAAGAACGACCGTCCTGGGTCAGACCAATGGTCCATCTAGCCCAGTATCCCGTCTGCCGACAGTGGTCAATATCAAATGCTCCAGAGAGAGAGAACACAACATGTAATCATCCTGTGATTCCTCCCCCGTCATGCATTTCCAGACAGAGGCTAGGGTCACCATTCCTACTCACCCTGGCTAATAGCCATTGATGGACCTAACCTCCATGAATCCACCTAGCTCTTTTTTGAACCCTGTTAAAGTCCTGGTCTTCACCACATCCTCTGGCAAGGAGTTCCACAGGTTGACTGTGTGCTGAGTGAAGAAAAACTTCCTTCTGTTTGTTTGAAACCTGCTGCCTATTCATTTCATTTGGTGACCCCTAGTTCTTATATTGTGGGAATAAGTAAATAATTTCTCCTTATTCACTTTTTCCACGCCAGTCATGATTTTTGTTGACCTTTTCTGGACCTTTTCCAATGCCAATGTATCTTTTTTGAGATGAGGTGAACATACCTATACGCAGTATTCAAGATGTAGGTGTACTATGATTTTATATAGAAGCAGTAAAATATTCTCTCTTTGGGTGCGTCTACACTATCCCCCTAGTTCAAAATAGGGAGGCTAATAAGGGCGACTGAAATGGCAAATGAAGCACGGGATTTAAATATCCCGCACTTCGTTAGCATGTTCCTGGGCGGTTGCCATTTTGGAAACTGACTAGCCTGGAGTAACTGCCCTCGTCTACACGTGGCAGTGAAATGGGAGTTCAAAGTAAACCCCTAACTCGAATTAGCCGTTACTCCTCATGGAATGAGGTTTACCAGCTAATTCGAGTTAAGGTCAATAACTTCCCTCTGACCCTTTTTTTTTGGGGGGGGGGGGGAGGCGGCCCTTTTTTTTCCCTCAACAAAAAACCCTTGGTGTTCCTCGGTCCTAAAAAGTTTAAGAAAGTTTAAGTTCCTCTAGCTTAGAGGAACCCTTAATGAACTTCAATACCTTGACAAGAGGGCTACACCAGCTTTCCCCAGCAGCTGCCACGCAACAAACTCAGCAGTTCGCTTATCAGCTTCATAGGTCTCCTTCTGACTGAGAATGAATACCAGTGGCAGACCGAGCTGTAAGTGGGCAGTTGAAACCTTTTCTGGATCTTCAACAACTTCAGTCTAAAGACGAAACACCGGTAAATGGTTCAGTAGCTTCACAATGCATGTTGGAGATCACACCTAGGTAATCAAGCTTGGAATTTCGATTACTTATGCAAAGTAGACAATGAAATACTCTCTTAGGGTATGTCTACACTACCCCCCTAGTTCGAACTAGGGGGGGTAATGTAGTCATACGGAGTTGCAAATGAAGCCCGGGATTTGAATTTCCCGGGCTTCATTTGCATAAAGCCGGCCGGCGCCATTTTTACATGCCGGCTAGGTCGGACCCCGTGCCGCGTGTACATTGCCATGAAAGGAGGATCCACCCTGCCTCTAGGTCGGTTGCTCCAATGGTTATTTACCCTCGTTATTAAAAATCTGCACTTTGTTGACCATGGCCACTGATTGTAATAAACCCCCAGCATACCAACCCCGACTGTGGCTTTGACAATCCCAGCAACCTGCCTCAGCCGCAGCCTAGGGCCTCAAGGGCTCACATGCGGTTCTGCTTATGGTGGGTACCATACCACGAGGGGGGCCGCCATCAGTTTGAGATGCGTGTGGATGTTCAGCGTGGTCAGTGACTGTGTCATGGGAGTCCTCCTGCACGGCTGGCTCAGATCCGGGACCCGCTGGCAGTGGCAGAAGAAGAGTCGGGCAGACGATGGGTCAGAGGCGTCGTGGCTGGAGGAGAAAGACGACAAACTGAGACCGCGCTGGTCGCAGGGGCAGGCCTGGGCGGGAGGGGGAGGGTAAAGTGCCACCACTGCAGCAGTCGAATTGCCGCCGGAGCACCGCACCTCACGCTCTGCACAGCTCTGAGGGTTGGCGGGGCGGGGAGAGAGCAGAGCTCCAGGCAGTGCTGAGGGCTGGCTGGGGGCACGGAGCTTCCCCCACCCCTTGCCTGGGGCCCACGGAAGCTGTCAGCACCCCTGCATATGTCCCTTTGCTTCGCCTCAGTTGTCCAGCAAGGGCAGCCACTCTGGGCTTCTGGTTCCCCAGCCCCCGGGAGAGACACGTGTTTCTCTCCATTCTGAGCAGGGACTGCCCAGGGTGCATGGTCCCCTGCCGTCCCGCGGTGTTCCCCAGCAGAGACAGGCTGCCCACGCGCCCCGGCTGGCTCTCCCCTCACGGACGGGTAAGCGGTGTCGTTGCTACAGTGACAGCCCTGCCACTGGCAGGCTTGCCTGCTGCACTGGCAAGGCGCCACGCACGCCTGAGAAACCCCAGTACAATCCATCAAAGAATCTACACGCCTGCTGATAAACTTCTCAAGGCTCAGGACCACTCCCTCCCTCAAACATGGGCTCCGGCAGGAGTGGTCCTTCAGCTCCTCTCCCGCCCCCCCCCCACACACACTCACACACACACTCACACACACACACACTCTCTCCACCCAACGGCAATTCCAGGGGGTTTCAAGTTCATCAGCTCAGAACAAGCATCTTTGCTGTATCAGGGAAAAGCCCGGAGCCAGTTTAAAACCAAGCTACGTATCCCACAATCCTCTTAGTCTGTGGATCCCTCGAAACCCTAAGGACATGCAGATCCCTTTGGGGGATGGCTTCACAGGGCCGGTAACGGGAGGAATTAATATTAGCCTCCAGCTCGGACTCAGGAAGATACGTACAGATCCACAAGAGCATCCACGGTGGTGGTCAAAGGTATTAACCCCAAGTCAGGTTTGCCTGAATTCATTTGCTGGGCACTCCATGGTCAAGCAGGGAATTGAACCTGGGTTTCTCAGGGGCTAAGTCAGGGCTCTAATTACTGGACCAAGCTTCTATGTATTACAGGATGAAAGCAGGAATATAAAGCGAACTGTTTCCTTTGGGCTGCGCCTGGCTCCACTGAAGTCAAGGGCCAGGCGTGTAATGAACTGTGGAAATGGTCACACATGAGTACGAGGCTGAGGCAGGGCACAGAAATAAGACAGGGCTTGCCAGGTCCTCCTTACAGAGCAGGGTTGTGTGTGGCTCTGGCCCATTCAATGCATGTTCCAGCTGAACCACAGTTTATTGGGCTTGAGAGCTGGGCTGGAGAGGTTCCCCCGGCCCCGGGATCCTGCTTAATCAGTTAACCAGTTAAACCTTAGAGATAACCAGTTAACTGATTAACTGGGATTTTACATCCCTCGTGCGGGACTGACCGAGCCACCGGGTCTCCCCGATATGGCTGTCAGTGGAGGTTTAAAACAGCCAGGATGCGAGATGGGCACCACAGCCAGGGGAGAAGGAAAAGAGAAGCCCCAGGATAGCTGCCAGACTGGCAGGCAGAAAAACCAGCTCTTCTCTGGTAAGCGGACCTCGTTGGCTAGGGAAATCAGTGAGGAGCTCAAATGTGCCTTCCCGGGTGACTTCTACAGTCACTCCTCAGAGCGCGGCTGCACTTTCAGTGCACCGGAAGGACAGATGTGCATGAGTTCTACTGAAACTGACACGGTTCACCCACATCTGCTGCTCCCAGCGCAGATTCTGCTCCGTGTCCAGCAGTGTTCTCTCCTCCGCAGGTGGCCTTTGCTCCCACCCAACCCTCAACACTGCCCAGTCTGTACCGTGCAGGGCTCCAGCGGTGATTGAAAGGGCCCCAGGGTCCACAGTAGCAGTAACCCGGAGCCGCCAGCCCTTTTAAATCCCTGAGCCCCAGGGATATTGCCCCTTTGCCTCCCCGCATCGGCAGCCTTGGTTGTACCCACCCAACGCTCTTCAACAGCTCCACCTCTGTGGTCAAAACAAACTGGTGGGCAGTTCCATATACAAAAGCAGCTTCCATTACCGCTCTGTGCTCTAAAAAAAGAAAACATTGTGATCCAGTTAATGTGTTCTTAGGCTACTCCCTCACCCACACTAAAGATTCCGGTCCAGATTTTCAGAATTGGCATCAAGAAAAATATACCTTCTTACTATATATTTCAGAAATGTGCCCCTGTCTATCTGACTGTCTGTGAGTCTGATTGTTCCAGAACTCCTCCTAAATGGTAAGAGCGAGGGCCACCAAATTTGGTAGGCAGCTTCCTCTTACTCTAACTTAAAGCAAGGTCAGGGTTCGGTTGTGTCAGGACAATGGGATGTGCCTGGAATGTGAATGTTTCTCATAAAATGGAAAGGGAGGGGTTTGGTAGGAAGGACAGTTATACTTCAGAATGACCACAAGGGGGCAGAAAGGGGCATGAGATGGGGATCAGGACAGTTATAACCTCATTGGGCCAGCAGAGGGCAGGGGTGGAGAAAGGGACAGCTCTCTACTATATATTTCAAAGAATTTGGTTGTGTGTCTGTTTGTGTGTCTGTTTGTTTATATGCCCATCTAGCCCCCAGTAGTGTCCCCTGGCTTTGTCCATTGTAGCTGCAAAGGCCTTGGACAGATGCTTCCCACTTGTACTCAAGCTGCTGCGGTGAGAGAGGCCTGGGGTTGCCTTCTCTCCCTGGGGCAGCCTGCATACTGAACCCCTCATCCCCATCCTCTCCTCAGAACAATGATTTAAATAAAGAAAAACAGTCTGATTAATTTGCATGCATTTCTGTAAACCAGGGGCACGGAGCCAAAGGCCCACGGTCCGGATGAGGCCCCCAGCATGCCTGAATCCGGCCCCCAGGGCTCCCCCCAGCTCCGGAGAGCCTGTGCTGGCATTCCAGTTTCCACTACCCCCCTGTGGGGCTGGAGCGCACAAAATCTATGAGGCCGGGACCCCTAGGCCCTGGTGTGCAAGGGGAATGTGGGGAGTGTCTTTCTCCTTCTCAGTGGGGGTTTGTTTGTTTAGTTTTACTTCTCCCGTGTGCGGCCTCCTACTGATTTTTCTGTGGGTCAGCAGCCCCCAACCCAAAAAAGGTTCCCCACCCCGCTGCACACTCTACAAGGTGAGGTGGATCGTTTTTAAAAAGAAACCGAGGTGTGTGGAGACCTGGGTCAGAAACTCAGGTCTGCGCTATCTTATTTAAAAAAAAAACAGAAACAGCTTTTGAAGGGGTATTAAGATGGAAGGTTGAGTGTCATACCTGGTGTTCCAACTGCGGGCACGTAGGCAAAGATGGCATTCGATCTTCCCTTCAGAGAATTTTCTAGATTCTGAAGCTCTAGCAGCGATGTAATATATTTAACTTCGTTAAAGAGAAGGGCACTGAGAAGACATAAAAATCTCATTTTCAGCATCCTTCAAAAGGAAGCGGTGAATCGGTACCTACAACTGCAGGCAAACACCAGAGCAGATGTACCTCTGGCTACCTGCCTGCAGAAGCCGCAGATGCAAACTACTCCAATTTGCCCCTGTCGTTTGTTTTGCAGGGCACATTGCCCCAATAGAGAGGCTCCCCTCGGCTTCACTGAAAACCTCCCCCAGAATGTACCGAGTTCAAGTTTCCACAAAGCTTCAGGCCCCAAGTGAAAAGACAAAGCAAATGATTTCATGCAGAAGAACGTTCGCGCTACTTACAACAGGTCATTGCCCTAATAGAGAGGCTCCCCTCGGCTTCGCTGAAAACCTCCCCCAGAATGTGCCGAGTTCAAGTTTCCACAAAGCTTCAGGCCCCAAGTGAAAAGACAAAGCAAATGATTTCACGCAGAAGAACGTTCGCGCTACTTACAACAGGGTATTGGCGACAATGGCGTTCACGTCGAACAAGGCATCTGTGGGGAATTCTCTGAGCAGTACGTTAGCTCTGGGAAAGAGAACGTAGAAAAATATACCTACGTTATATTGACCAAACCATCAACCAACATGGGGGTTATTCACCCTTGTAGCTGTGCTTCCCTCTGTCTGATTTCTCTCTGGGGACTCTACACTCAGAAGGGACCATTCTGATAAGCTAATCTGACCTCCATCTGACTGAGCTCAACGCCTTGGGTTGAACTAGTGCGTTTATCTTTTAGACAGACATTCCCCAAAATGCTCATCTGAGAGGAGACAAGAGAATCCTCTTAAAAGGGGCAGCCCGGTAAAAAGGAAAGCATTTGTGCAAGGGATGTGAACGTCTATGGGAGCTGGGTTCCTAATTCACTTAGGTACTTTTAGTGGGGTCTTCAATCTAGCCAGCCAGCAAGAGATCCAGAACTAATCCTGTATTAGCCAGCTTTGCGCTAATTTCAGTGAGCTTTGGATCAGATCCTTTCTCAGGTACGGAGCCTGATCAGCAGTGAGCAAATGTAACCTCTGCCTATTCTAAGTGGTGCTCTGTTCCCGTCTAGTGGCTGGGCCACACAGGTTAGAGCTGACTGGGAATTTTTCATCAACTTGTCAGTGAAATTAAAGTTTCCACAAAATATGTTTGCCAAACAGTTTCAGTTTGCCACTGGAAAATCGACATGAGCTATTTAATTTTGCATTGGTTCAATAGCTCCCAAGTCATGCAAAGCATCCTGAGAGTTGTAATTTGGGTGATTCATGTCCCTATTCTCCACCATGGGTCAGGCTCCCTGGCTGGACTACATTTCCCATGATGCACCATGGTCTGCTCTCTTGCTAAACTACAGCACATCAAGGAAGTCATGTAACACAGTGCATCATGGGAAATGCAGTCCAGGAAATTCTGCAATCTATTGTCTTTTCCTTGTAACGTCAGCCTCACTATGTGTGATCAAAAGAAACAAAAAAGCATCTGCTTATGCTCAAGTTCTTGGTGTAAAATGGCTGCAGGTGGATTGTATAAATATTTGATTCCTTCAGAACAATACCAAGCAATGTATCTCCAACAAAGAAAGGAAGAATAAGAAAATCACAGGCACCTTTTGTAAAGTCTAATCCAGTGTTTCTTAAACTATGTTCTGCGGCACACCGGTGTGCCACGAGGCAGTCCAAGGTGTGCCACGGTGAACAACAGAATTCAAAATGGCCACCCTTAAAGGGGCAGGCAACCTTTTTTGTTGTTGTTGTTTTGCTCAATAACTTTCCCCTGACCATTTTTTCCCTCAATAACTTTCCCCTCAACCCTTTTTCCCCCCGACCCTTTTTTTCTTCCTGTGCTTAACAAAAAATCCTTGGTGTTCCTCATTAAAAAAAATATTGTTGTCAACCCTTTTTCCCCTGACCCTTTTTTTTCTTCCTGCGCTTAACAAAAAATCCTTGGTGTTCCTCATTAAAAAAAATATTGTTTCTTGGTCTTAAAAAGTTTAAGAAACGCTGGTCCTAACAGTACTTCCCATCCAGTACTGGTGCAAGACAAACACCTCTCAGGGACGATCTAGAGGGGTTTGAACTGGATTACCTCATGAGGTCCCTTCCAGCCCTCCATTTCTAGGTTTCTATAAGAACTATTTCCCTGACATAACTTTAGAGATACTGAGCCAGTTCCTTAGCTAGCACATATCGACATAACTCCACTAAAACAATGGAACAACACCAGTTTACACCAGTTGGGATTCTGTCTGACATAACTTTAGAGATACTGGGCCAGTTCCTTAGCTAGCACATATCAACACAGCTCCACTAAAACAATGGAACGACACCAGTTTACACCAGTTGGGATTCTGGCCTATAGTATTTTGCCAGTGATCCCACAATCCCCAACATCAAGGAGGAAAAACTACTGGCATCCATTCTAGTGATGTGCCTACGTCACGATTTTAAATTGACTCTTCCATGCTAATTCATCTGCAAGATAACGGTTCCCCCTGTACTTCCAAGATGATCCTAGGAGCTTTGAGAACTGGTGGACAGCTTGTGGGATTGATCTAAAGAATTTCAAAGAATTCTGGTGGAAATTGTCCCCTTTGCTGCTACAGCCGACCAGCGCCTGACATGCCAGCCGACTCTTGTGATTTCTTGAAACCCTTGCCACAGAAAAGCTCTCAAAACCAATCGACGGTACTCTCGTCACCCGCATGCAATCAATGCCATTCACCTGAACAGGTATGCCTTCCTTAAGGTATTTTCTTTCCCACAGTATCTTGATATATCTTCTTGGAGACAATTAACCTAGGCATTTAAAACAAGTCGTTACAATTCCCGACGCACGGACAGCCACAAATACATACAGGCGAAAGCGTTTTATGCTTTGACTGTACCAAAGAGAACTTTTCACACCTACTGTCCAGGCAAAAATGCAATGACACAATCGAGGGAATGGAAGCCAACGATTAAGATTTCACAAGCACAAAAGTCAGGAGAGTCCAAGTCGTGGTTCTCCAACACACATCATTTAGCTGCCTTGATTCGGTTTCACCCAGTTACGCCCATAGTCAGCCCAAACTAGGCTTGATAGCAACGTCCTAATCTGAGTACGATAACATTTATGCAGCGCACTCTGATCCATAGGACAGTTCAGGACGGCCACCTCATGCCCTGCTCTTTGGGGGTCCCCGCTCCAGCTGCCCCAACTGTGCTATGGACGGGACGGTCACCCATATGGAAGTTAGCCTGTGGGGCCCACGGCAGCTGAGGGTATTATCATTGGGGCCTGGCGTAGGGCGGCAGCAGGGGTCGGGCCCTCCCTGCACTTCCTGCGGTGGCGGGAGCTGCAGGAAGCGGAGTCTCCCATCCGGGTCCTTCCACTTCACCGGGGTGGCAGGAAGCAGAGTGCCCTGGATCCAGCCTGCTCTGCTCCCCCATACGATGCAGAACGCAGGGGAGCAGAGGGGAATGGGCTGGGATGCAGGAGCTCCATTTCCCACCACCTCAGTGAGTGGGGGAGGGAACCCCTGCTGCTGCCCGTGTCAGGTCCCCTGGGAACCTTAATATCCGGGTCCTTCCACTTCACCGGGGTGGCAGGAAGCAGAGTGCCCTGGATCCAGCCTGCTCTGCTCCCCCATACGATGCAGAACGCAGGGGAGCAGAGGGGAATGGGCTGGGATGCAGGAGCTCCATTTCCCACCACCTCAGTGAGTGGGGGAGGGAACCCCTGCTGCTGCCCGTGTCAGGTCCCCTGGGAACCTTAATCCTCCAGGTAGCGTCTCTCAGTGGAGGGGGCTTTGAGGAAGGGGGGCAATTGGAGCAGGAAAGGGCACAGCAGGGGCAGGTGGGGTAGGGGTGAGGCAAGGGGTAAGGGGCGCAGCAGGAGCAGGGAGAGGGGAAGGGGCAGAGCTGGGAGAGGGCTTTAGGAATAGTTGGAGTGGGGGCGGGGAAGAGACGGGGAAGGGATGGAGTGGGAATAGAGCAGGAGCAGGAAGAGGCAGGTTGGGGGATAGCCCCAGGCCCTATGCCTGGAGTGGAGGTGGGTTGTCCTGGCCCCGCCAACAGGTATGGCCCTGCGTTTACGTCTTAATACAAAAGGCCGAGGAAACTTTGCACTTCTCTTCAAAACGCCTGGACGGAGACAAGCAGGTGAACTCAAGGATTAAAGCTTCAGCTGGTTGAAACACGCAGCCTTTTTTTTCGGCCACAATCTGAATACCAAAAATATTGTCATTTAGAAACACTGCCGCAAAGCCGCCCATTGTCCTCTCTGGGCAGGGCTTGGACTACATCGCCCATGATGCACCATGGCCTCTGCTACTGAAGATGGGAGCCATGGGCCATGATCCATTCAGGGAGACCCCTGCACTCACATGGGCCCACAGTGAGTTTAATGAAGCTGCCTCCAATTCCAGAGGTTTGCCAGGCGAAAGTCAATTGCAGGGTCGGACAGACAATGGTGGCACCTTCCCAGTGAGCAGCCAAGCACTGCTAGTGCTGCAGCTTAGAGGTAATTGTTGGCTGTGAACACATTAATATGTCTGTAGCCGGGGCGGTGTGGGAGGGCACGAAGGGACAGGAGGGCTGGCCAGCAGCCGCAGGGAGACTTGTGGGGAGGCCTGGAGCCTACCAGAGAGTTCTCCCCCCCCACCCATACACCCACACACCAGCAGCGGTGGGAGAAGCAGAGCAAGGCAGTCCCAACTCGCTCTGTTCTCCTGGCAAGCCGCTTTGGGGAGGGGTGGCACCACCCCCACACTTCCCGGCAGGAAGCAGAGGGATGCAGGCACGGGAGTAAAGCCAGCTGGGACCACCTGCTCTGCTTCCTCCACCGCTGCGGGTGAGTGCGAGGAGCAGCCGGACCCCTGCTAGTCCCCCTGGGTGCCTGGGGATAGAGGTGGGGCAGGGCCGGAGCAAGAACGGGGTGGGCAGGAGGAAACCTGTGCTGAAGGAGGGTTGTCCTGGTCCTTCCCTGGGCAGGGGGGAGGTGTCATGTGGCCCTCTGGGTCCCCTCCCACTAGTCAGCTGTCTGCTACAGATAGAGACAGCACAGCCCCCCCATGGAGAACAGTCCCACGTGCCCACATGACCAACCTTACAGCCCCACCAGACAACGCCCCCATCACGGAGGAGTCTGTGGCTACGTCTGGACTGCATCCCTCTGTCGACAGAGGGATGCAAATCCAGCACATTGAAATTGCACATGAAGCAGGGATTTAAATATCCTGCACCTCATTAGCATAAACATGGCCGCCGCTTATTTGAAACGGAGTTCTTTCAAAAAAAAAACCCCACTTGGCCATGCAACAAGTCAATGGTGAAGATAGGTATATATCCTCCCTAAGAGTATGTCTACACAACAGGGCTCAACGTCGAAAAAGGCTTTATTTTCGACAGATCCGCAACTAGACTGCCGGGGTTTTTTTGAAAAAACTCCATTTCGAAAAAAGGCGGTGGCCATGTTTATGCTAATGAGGCACGGGATATTTAAATCCCTGCTTCATTAGAAATTTCTATGTGCCTAATCTACATCTCTCTGTTGACAGAGAGGTGTAGTCTAGACATACCCTGCGTGTGTCAGCTGGGGAAATAAATGCCACATTTGTTTACCTTCACCACTGAAATCCCATAGTCCTGGAGCGCGCCAGCCGAGTTCTCCAGTTGTTCCAGAAACAGGCGGACACCCGGGGAAACTGAAACACCAAGAAGAACCGGTTTCTTTCTCTCTCCGGGAGTCAGGCAGAGGAGCGTGAACAAAAGCTCATGTCACCTCAGCTCCCTGACCCAGACCACGTCGCCCTTCCCCCCACTGAGCAGCCACCTGCTCCACCAGTCTCCACACTGGTTTTAACAGGGCTACTGCAGACATAAGCTACTTGTCCGTACAGATATGTGTATGACAAGTGTCCCCGGGGCCTTCCCCCCCATCCGCAGACAGATGTGACTCTGAGCCGGCAAGTAGCACAGAAGGTTTATTCCCTGACAGGGACACAGCGTAGCACAGACTTGTTGTTAACACAGGAACCAGGAGCAGTGGGTACAGTATTTCTTAAACTGTGTTCCATGGCATAGCGGGGTGCCGTGGAGAACAACAGAATTCAAAATGGCCGCCCTTGAAGGGGCAGGCGACTTTTTTTTTTTTGCTCAGTAACTTTCCCCCAACTCTTTTTTTCCTCAACAACTTTCCTCCCCCCCCCTCGCTCCTGCCCCCCCCATCCTTTTTCCCCACAAACTTTTTTTTGGAGGGGGTCAACAAAAAATCCTTGGTGTTCCTCATAAAAAAAAAATTATAGTTTGGTGTTCCCCAGTCTTAAAAAGTTTAAGAAATGCTGAGTTAGTACAATCCGACTAAGGGAGAGGAGCACCCAGAGCCAGCACCCTGGGCCCTCTCCCTGCATCTTCCCCCACCCCAGAGTAACTCACCCACCCAGCCCTGCAGGCAGCCCCACCCCCTCCTTTGTTCAAATTAAGGTGTCACCTGGTTGCTCCCCCCACCCAGGCTCAGGTTATAGGACAGCCTGAGCTATTGTTATGTAGGTGATAAGATGGGGCAGCCTCCCTCGGGGAGAACGACACCCAGCATTCCCATCCCCAGGCGGGCAATAGTGCAGTGCCCAGGGAAACTGAGGCACGCACCCGGGGTTACAACAGAACAGCACAGGACAGTAGGAATCACCCACTACATCACAAAGCCAACAGAGCGCGCACAATCCCCACGACGTCACAACAAGCTAGCCTTATTTGCCTCCGTTTCCCATTAGGTATGTTAACTGGCTCCTGTCGATGAGCTGCAGCGGTGGCTAGCCACACCGGCCAGAGCAGCCCCAGCTGCAGAAGGGCCAACGGTAGCCCCATGCTACAGAGAGGAGCAGTGTTACTTCCTCTTTCCCCCTGCAGAGGCACTTTGGAAAGAGACACAACCCCCCTTTGGCAAGCTAATCCACACAGGCATTCCCAGAGCTCCGACGCCAGGGCAAGAAGGGTGTGATAAAGACACAGGGATCTGCCCATGCAGAAAAACTTGCAGAACTGGTGGCTCTAACCAGAACAGCAAGAGGAAAGCGTTCGTCTCCTCACATTTCTACAGTCATTGGGAATATGCAAGGAGGTTGGGAAAATCCTGCTCTGAGAGATGAAAGTTGATCTGCTCCTTCAAACTATGCGGGCTTTCAAGTTTGCAAAGATCTGTGGCCATCTGATTTCACCATTGCCCAAGAGGTCTTTTCAGCAGCTCCCACGTTATTCACGTTCACGGCCACAAAGCCAGGCTAATGAAAACGCACGCATGTCAAACACATACCCTCTCGGCTGAAATAAACCAAGGATGCTCTTCCCGGCTGCAAGCTACTGACATACTCCTGGGGGCTCAGTTCCAGCAGGGTCTTTGCATTTCTTGCCACAGACGTGTCATAAGTGCATAATAGCAGGAGAGCGACGCAAGAAACCCAGCTATTCATTGGGCAGGACATGATTTCATCCGTTGAAGTCATTGCAGAAGCCACATCTGGAAAAAAAACAAAAAACAAAAAAGCGTTGCTGTTTACATAGATTTGCAGATCAGTGCCTGTAATTTACAAATGTGATGAGACCAACAAACACCCATGATTAAAATGGGAATTTATCTATCTATACAAAGAGCAGACCAATGCAGTCCTAGCAAAGCTAATGTTGATTACAAAGCAGGCCTGTTTCTTATTCACTACACTACAGGAATATTTCGAAATAGTTAATTCGAAATAGCTTAAGAACATAACATAAGAACATAAGAACAGCCGTACTGGGTCAGACCAAAGGTCCATCTAGCCCAGTAGCCTGTCTGCCGACAGTGGCCAGCACCAGGTGCCCCAGAGAGGGTGGACCGAAGACAGTGATCAAGCGATTTGTCTCGTGTCATCCATCCCCAGCCTCTGGTAAACAGAGGCCAGGGACACCAATTCTATCCCCTGGCTAACAGCCTTTGATGGACCTAACCTCCATGCAATTATCTAGCTTCTCTTTAAACTCTGTTAAATTCTGCTTATTTCAAAATAACGTGTCTACACACAAAATGCATTTCAAAACAGCATTTTGCTATTTCGAAATACCGCGTCCACACTGAGCGTGGTTTGGATTTAAGGCTGGCCGGAACCAGGTCAGGGTTAGGGCATCAGTGTCTTTGTGTGGCTGTTGCAGAAGACTATCTGAGGCCTGTGCTTAAAGGGACACTGCATGCCCCCCCCCCCCCCCCCCCCCCCCCACACGCT